GAAGAGCTTAGATTGGTACCAGATAAAATAATTTTGTTATCAACATTAATACATTATGCTAATTTTCATCTTTTTAAGCGCATAAGACAGTGCAAATTATTTCTGTGACAGTCTTTTGAAGTGTGTAAAGATCCATTTTATCCCATACATATTCAAAATATTGGGGGGGATGACTCAATGGACCATCCCCCCTTGTCAAATATTGGGGGGATATATCCCCTCCATCCCCCCGGGATCTACGCCTATGGGCTTGATAGCATCATAATATAAGCTCTGTCGATGTCATAGTCATCATCCCTATAATCAACACTAAAAATAGTTATGTGATTTGTATCTTTAAAAAGCTTATAACGCTATTAATGGGCTGGAGAAGTACAGTAGTTAAGTCTCTGTCGTACTGTACTGTTTATTACTAGTGAATGGAGACACTTATTTTTTAAATTTATTTTTTAATCTCTTCTCCCCATGCAATAAAAGTAATATCATTATCAATATCATTACTTTAAACTTGAAAATTATGAATGTTATTGATTATCCTAGTCAGATGTGTTTAGGCAATTTAACAGAACAGACATTTCATTCAGATAAGGTCATTTATACTCTACACAATGTGAAAGAGAACCCAAGCAATTGGACCTTTGTATGACATTTGCGAATGTTTAGTCCATTGGGCCAGCGGGATTTGCTTGAGAACACAAAGATGACAAAGTGTGCACTTGTTTTTATTGATAATTCACTCACGACGGCATTAGGCCGCCAACTGCCCAGACAAAGTGGATACTTTAATCTGTTGGTCGATGGTCATATGATGCCTGGCTTAATGCAACACCTGCACAAATAATTGAAAAGATCTACAAATCACTTACATTCTTGTTTTTGTATAATTGTAAGAACAAGATAAATGAAACATTATAAAAAATATTAAACAAATATTTATTAAAGCATTTTTCTAGCATAAATTTCAATTTTTCATTTTTTATTTGTTATTCTTTACATGAATGAGAAATTTGTAAATAAAATACATAAATAGACAAGGATTTAATTTGAAGGGAAAAAAATAGATACAGTTAAACTTAATTTCTTTTTTATATAGAGAACTTAAATGCATTTTTAAAGTATTGGATCCACCCTGATAAGCTTTAACCCAATCTGATATTTCATTACCTTCATTTCTCAGTTTTTCTTCATATTGTGTGACTACCTCCACCAGTGTTTTATGTTTAATTTTTTGTAACTGCTCTTTAAGCATACTATACTCGCCAATAGTAAAAATTCTTCGCTTCTCTTGAGCAGATAAAACATCTTCCATGGTGTCCATATTTTCAACTTCCCGTGCCCTAAATCCTCCATAATCATCAGTTCTAAGGCGTTTCTTGTATAACATGACTTCTTCTTCATCCAAGTCACGACAAATATGGTCCATCAAATCATCATGTATTTTCTTGGCTTTTTTTTCCATGTCTCTGTCTATATGGTTTGTTCAGCTTGTGGTATTCCTTCAAAGTTACGAAAATCACACAATAATATATTGCAATATATTTATATTATATTTATATTTTTACAAAATTATAAGAAAACAAAATAGATAAAACAATATACAACAACATATAAAAAAAAAACTAATAATTTAACAATACTGGCAGAAAAATATAAAATCCAATTGTAACTATAGTAACTACCAGCCAGGGATATTTATACTTGTATAAAAACTCATATGCACAATACTGAAAATTTGAGGTTTGACTGTGAAACATGATGGTGCCGCGCATACAATTATTGTAGCACCCTGAATTTGCAGTATTATTCATTTTTTACGTATTACATTTATTTGTAAATTACTGAAGCATAATTCGTAGACGTGTGTGTTAAGCTACATTGATCTTCATTTTCATGTTTGTGAGTATATACAGGTGTTTTTAAAACTGCCTTGCATATTTTCTAAACTGTATAACAATCAGTGGCGTAGAAAATTATTATTCATTGGATGGGATGATTGGCGTGTGTCTTAAGTGTCTTAACAGGCGCGGGGGGGGGGTGCAGGGGGAACTGCCCCTCCCCTGACGGTTTTTACCGGGCTGACCAAGCCGTCGTACCGGGCTGGGTAATAAGAGAAAAGAAAGAGGGGAGAGGGAGAGAAAGAAAAAGAAGAGGAAAAGAAAAGGAAAGAAAAAGAAAAGAAAAAGAAAAAGAGAAGAAAAAAATAAACAAGAATAAAAAGGAAGATATCATAATGACCAGACTCACAACACCTTCTCCACTTCAAAAACTGTCATAACTCCATCTATGCTGCCCAATGGCGTAACCACTGGGGGACAAGGGGAAATATTTATTTTTGAAAAATCTTTCCCACCCCTTTATAAATGCCCTTTTTATCCACTGAAAGTGCCTAAAAACCTCAAATTTTAGGGACTTTTGATCAATTCCAACGAAATTAGAATTAAAAACACCGGGGGACAAGGGGAAAATATCCATCTTTGGAAAATCTTTCCCCACCCCTTGACATATGCATCCTCTGAAGGTGCCTAAAATTCTCAAATTCTTTGCCCACATTTCTTGTTACGGTAGGCCAATTTCCTCTATAAATTGCACATTTTAGGGAGTTTTCATCAATTCCGACGAAATTAGAATTAAAAACACAAAAATATTTTGCGCGTCGCACGCATTTTTTAGGGCTTTTTTAGGTTTATCCTTTTAAGTTGTTTAAACACATAATGGTCCCAAACTCAAGAAAGACAAATTAAAGATAGATCGTTTTTACCTAAAAGTAGGGCCTCAATGTGTACTGATGGTGAAAGAATATGTTTGTAATAAATAAAACCATGATGAAAATGCTTATATTTAGTTTCAAACACACGTGTGTGGCCTATATTATAAATAAGATAAGCCCTATGTCGAGTGGGGTGGGGTGGGTATGGTAAATTACTAACCGGGAAAATAAATACCCACTCTGACCCAAGATCCCTGTTACGCACCTGGTGTTAGCTCCAATGTGTGCCCTTGTGCGGACAGGGGATGTGTCCCCCTCTAAAGCTGGAAACCTTGTTTTTGCAGAATAAATTGATGCAATTTGCTATTATAGGCCTAATCAATAAATTCCTCATCAACCGATATAACCTTAAACATTCTTGGAATTGACATAACATTGCTGATGTCGTACACACCCTTCAGTGTGAAATGTGCGCATAAGACAGTGCAAATTATTTCTGTGACAGTCTTCTGAAGTGTGTAAAGCTCCATTTTATCCCATACATAGTCAAAATATGGGGGGGATGATACAAGGGGGTGATACAATGGACCATCCCCCCGCCCCTTGTCAAATATGTTTTTGCAAAATAAATTGATGCAATTTGCTATTATAGGCCTAATCAATAAATTCCTATGCATATTATATGACTCTACTATAATAGTAGTCATTTTCATGAGATCCGTGACTAATTTTAGGATACCTTTTTTTCTCGATGGATTTGGCACGATGGACCAATTTAGATAGAATATAGCTCCTATATACCTCCCAGATATGTGGGGGGGGGGAGTCCCGTCTGGGGGCGTTTTTCAAAATGGCCGCCTGTGGATTTGGACGCCTGTACCTCGATAACCACTGGTCAGAGAGACTTTATTTTGGTCTCAAACTGTTCACAATATGCATGTTCCTCTTTGTTGTAATCATAGAGCTATTAAACAACTAGAGTGCTGACAAGATGGCGAAGCAATGCAGAGTTGTGTATGTGTACCATCCAAGATGGCCGCCGTAGGAAAGCGCCACCTTCAGGCTTACTATCATATTATTACCATAAATAAGCCCTCTGACTGACTATTATTTCATTAATGATAATTGGTATTGATAATAACAAAATATTAAACTATCGTAGCCAAAAAGAGGCCAAGTAGAGCATCTTATTAAAAAAAAAATTAAACTTGTGTACATTACACCCATACACCGCAACGCTCGAGTTTCAAACATACGGGTAACTAGCTATACTGAACTTTCCGTGCAAATTGAGGGCGCCATTGAAAGTGA